AAAAACGGGGGGGTGCCGGCCCCCCTGGGGGGGGTGCAACGTATTTGGAGTTTTTTTTTTTTTTTTTTTCGCAATTTTTTTTTCGTTTTTTCCAGTATCGTTAGCATTGTCGTTCTTCCAAGTTCGATGCTAACGGGAAAAAAAATTTTTTTTTTTTTTTGGAATCAATGCCCCCAAACGGCCACTAGGAGAACGTTGTTCTGGTTTTCTACAGAAACAGAAACGGAACGACGTTTGGAACTTTCTAGAACTTTTGCACAGTACTACGTGGTACTGCGGGTTCCTTCAGCACTTTCACGTTCTGGACCTGGACCTGGACCTGGACTAAAACCTGGACCTGGACCTGGACCTGGACTCGTCAACAACATCCGATCATTTGGATTTTTTTTCTTTCCTGTCGTCGTCGTCTCGACTCTGGTCCAGTTTTTAACTTTTTTTTTTTTTTTTTTTGTCTCATATTTACCACCTGGTACTTTTAAAAGTCTTAAAGAGTCAATTTTTTTATACTGTGGTTTTCTTTGTAAATATATTCATGAATAAATATTGTATGTATTTATTATAGCATTTCAACACAACACTTCCAGAATCGGTTCCAGACTCGGATCCAGACTCTGTTCCGGAATTGGTTCCAGACTCGGATCCAGACTCTGTTCCGGAATTGGTTCCAGACTCTGTTCCAGAATCGGTTCCAGACTTGGTTCCAGAACCGGTTCCAGAATCGGTTCCGGAATCGGTTCCAGACTCGGTTCCGGAATTGGTTCCAGACTCTGTTCCAGAATCGGTTCCAGACTCGGTTCCGGAATTGGTTCCAGACTCTGTTCCAGAATCGGTTCCAGAATCGGTTCCAGATTCAGTTCTGGAATCGGTTCCAGAATCAGTTTCAGACTCGGTTCCGGACTCGGTTCCAGACTTAGTTTCAGAATTGGTTCCAGAACCGGTTCCAGACTCTGTTCCGGAATCGGTTCCAGAATCGGTTCCAGAATCGGTTCCAGACTCACTTCCAGAATCGGTTTCAGACTCGGTTCCAGACTCTGAACTCTTTCCAGTCTCCGTCCTCCACTTGGTCCCAACTTTCAATACAACGGTTCCAGACTCAGTTCCAGAATTAGATCCAGAATTGGATCCAGACTCTGTTCCGGAATCGGTTCCAGAATCGGATCCAGAATCGGTTCCAGACTTGGTTCCAGACTCGGTTCCAGAATTGGTTCCAGACTCGGTTCCAGAATCAGTTCTGGAATCGGTTCCGGACTTAGTTCTGGAATCGGTTCTGGAATTGGTTCCAGAATCGGACCCAGACTCTGTTCCAGACTCGGTTCCAGAATCGGATCCAAACTCTGTTCCAGAATCTGTTCCAGAATTGGTTCCAGACTCGGTTCCAGAATCGGATCCAGACTCTGTTCCAGGCTCGGTTCCAGAATCGGTTCCTGAATCGGACCCAGACTCTGTTCCAGACTCGGTTCCAGAATTGGTTCCAGAATCAGTTCTGGAATCGGTTCCGGATTTAGTTCTGGAATCGGTTCCAGAATTGGTTCCAGACTCGTTTCCCGAATCGGTTCCAGAATCGGATCCAGACTCTGATCCAGACTTGGTTCCAGAATCGGTTTCAGAATCGGACCCAGACTCTGTTCCAGACTCGGTTCCAAAATTGGTTCCAGAATTGGTTCCAGACTCGGTTCCAGAATCAGTTCCAGAATCAGTTCTGGAATCGGTTCCAGAATCTTTCTCCGTCCTCCACTTGGTCCCGACTTTTCAATATTCCCCGATGGAAACTCTGACGTCGTCAAGTTGTCGGTTTGACATCATGGAAATTTACAAGCGACGCCGTGGAAGGTCAAAGGTCATGACCTTTTGTTACTCCTCCGGTCGTTCACCTGCGTCTTTATTTGACCTTTTTAAAAAAACCAACAGCGCTCTACGATGACGACGGGTTTTCGGATTCGGAATTCGTCCACATATATTTTTAAAAATTTTTTTTTTTTTAATTTTTATAAATAAAATCCGCGATGTTTTAAAACCACGTCACTGCGACTCCGTTAATGAAAACGAAGCGACCTTTGACCTTTGGAGAGCCCCCGGTCGACCTTTGACCTTCGGAGAGTCAAGATGGTGTTCGTTTGTTCGTGATCGCGAGTCGTCACTAAAAAAAACATCACGCACGCACTTCGTCCGTTCCAGCTGTTGTTTTTGGACACATAGCATCCCCTCCTGGCAACGGAGGGTCGTAAACCGCGGGGGGGCGGGGCCTCCGGCTGAGGTCGCTCTTTACGACCTGTTAATGGCGCGGCGGTTATCGCGACTGACAGATGGGCGAGGATTTTATTTATGGGTCGTTGTTGACTCGTCGCGCTGGGTGATAATTAAAAAAAAAAAAAAAAAAAAAACCGCCGGGGGTGAAAT